TCAGTCTTCTTTCTCTTCTGTTTCTTCAGTTTTACTTTTTGTGCTTGTAAATGTGAACTTGTTATTAGATTCTGTGTTAAAAAGTATATTTCATGTATGTGAGAGTTAAAGGAAAGTTAACATGCTTCTTGGCCATGTCACGAGTTTAAAGCTAATTGGTTTTTTTAATTAAAGTTAATTATCGGCATGAGTTAAACCTAAGTTAAGGAAGACAAGAAAGTGTGGTATAGGAGCACACCATAGGTTTCTTTCTTTCTGTAATATTGATGTTCACTCTAAATTTATTATTGAGTTCTGAATATGTGCATGTTAACATAAAACACTTGCCACTAGAGATCATGAAGTTTTTATTTTTATCAGATCAGCTTGACTTGTGGCTTTATTTTTCATTCTAGCATATCAGGTTTCACCTTCTTGGCCTGAAAAATGCTACAAGTCTTTCTACTACTCTCTTTAGTGAAACTTATCAATGAATGTCAAGAGAGAGAACGGCCAGTCATGTGGTGACGCCACCAGGACAAAGAAACTAAGGTTTCTTTCTAGCCAACGTTCGGATTTAAAGACACTCCTAGGCTGAATATCAACGTGTTCACATCTCCAGGATTGCAACCTAAGAGAATGAAGCCTGAAGGGCGAAACCTGATTTTGTAAAAACGACGATTGGAGTATGTAGCTAGTACACACGCGTTGTGTTTCTGACTTTTTGGGCTTAATGAATATTCTTCTCGTTGTGTCCAGTCTGTTTCGGGTTCATGGAGTTAAAGTCAGCGAGTATTAATTCAGCATTGTTCTACAACAACAATTGTTTTATCGAACTTTTTTATCAAGTGGACTTATCTAATGAACCTCTATAGTATTATATAAATCAGTTTCACCACAAAATGTTGAGCTATAGGTAGTAGAAACCATTTATGTAAAAAAATGCGAAACAAAAATATATTACTGACCCAATAAATTAGAAATTAATTCATGTTATCCTTAAATAACTTCAAATCCAAGCTGGGAATAGAAATCTAAAATCAAATATTTCATTAAGCTTAAATATTTCGCATTTTTCTATTTGTTAAAAATGCAGAGACTATATTTTGTTTATTTGTTTGAAGTTAAGCACAAAGCTACACAATGGGCTAACTGTGCTCTGCCCACCACCGGTATCGAAACTCGGTTTCTAGCGTTGTAAGTCCGCAGACATACCGCTGTGCCACTAGGGGGCGACTCTATTTTCATAACATGTACTTTTCATACATGCTTAACTTAAGAAATCGTTCAGCTTTAGCTAAAAAATACTTGTAAATTCTAGTAGCGCTCAAAAAATACGTGATCTAGATTCACTAGACACTGACATCAAAACTAGTTTGATGTAGATAACCATGTCATTATTGATTATTAATTTTTTCCCCCACCGTCTCCAGTAACCAACTGCCATACTCGTGAGAAAGTCCATTTGAAGGTTAGACAGTACCTTATCAAGAGTTAGAAAATTAAGTTGATATTTTGAAAAATTCAGAACAATTATCAAAATTCATTGATTCACTTTTATTTTTTAGGGCTTTCGACTAATCTTGGAGATCATGTTATTCTTAGTGTTTTTATTTAGAGATTATGTTTCCATTAATTTTGAAATTGGTTAGGATTTTCGCAGATCGAGATATTCTGTAACGAGATTTATACGTGCGTGTACGTATGTATGACAAATATAAGATTTTGTTATTAAAATTGTAGTATAATACGTAGACCAGCTTCAGTCTCGGCACTGAAAACTGGTTCAGGTTCAGTCACATTGTATAACCACTTTCACGCATTTTTGAAACCAGATTAAAATAACACTTGTTTGATAGATAGCTATTAAATACGGTCCTGATCAAAATGTTTGCATAGTGTTCAATATTGATGTTATTGCCTACATGCAGGGAGTAGTTACTAAGTAACAGAGAAGAGTAGCACATGATTGGATAAACACATACGAGTTGTTATTCTGCTCTGTATAAGTTGTTTTGAGCATTTGTTCGTGAAAACACACATACACACCTGTTTTGTATGAGAGGATGTGTTTTTGGTATAATCTTTTTTCGAAATAGATCAACACTTTGTTCAGACAGATTCTCTGTACATGGTGTCGGGTAATGCTTTGTCACGTGCCAGAAGATAAAAGGGCATCAAATTGTTTGACGGTCCAGAAATGGTATAAATCAAATGGACATTACCAGAACAGTAGGATACCCTCCTTCCAAATGTACTGTATTCAGAATCCTGAAACGTCATCGGACTACAGGAAACGTTGTTCCAGGAAAGTCTACCGGTAGACGCCAAAAACTACTTTCCGTGTTTTGATCAGTTTAAGATATCAAAGTCGAAATAAGTCCTGTAACGCCTTACGACAGGAATGACATGTACACATTTATTCCAGAGTATCCAGAAGAACAGTGAATAGGAGACTGACCACACAAGGTTATTTTACAAGAAGGGCTATCTGCAAACCGATATTAATCAGAATTCACTGAGGTCACCATGGTACTTGGGCAAGACAACATGCCAACTTACAGTTAGGACACTGGCGACATGTCATCTTTTCAGCTCAATCCTGTTTCCAGCTTGTTAAAGCTGATGGTAGGATTCGTGTTTCCTGTTTGCCTGGAGAATAGATGAGGGAAGACCATCTTTCACACATGGAACACACAGGCGCAATACATGTTTTGGTAGCGATTTATCATGATGGAATAACTGTTCTTCACATCCTCCAGGGAAACGTCAATGGCGCCTCATACAGGCATCACATGGAGACGATATTTCTGCCATATTCTAGAAGAAGGTTTGGGAATAACTTTGTATTCCAGGATGACACTGCCACTGTCCATAGTGTGTGTATTGTACAGGATTATCTCGACCAGGAGGACGTTACAAGATTGCCATTGCCAGCACAGTCTCCAGAGTGTAATCCCATTGAGTACTGTTGTGCAGAACTGAGGCGGAAAATTGCTCGTTATTGCTCAATATTTTGTCATTATATATGTTTTGGTAAAGTTTTGTTGTGATAGGTGAAATGCTGAAATATCCATCTTTCTATAGGTGTCTAATGAAATTGTTTGCTGTTCTAATAAGTCATTCATGATGTCCATAGAACCTTTGTCGTTATACAAATTACATATTGTAACGAATTTGTTATTATATATTTATTTTAATATCAACGTTTGTTTGGTTAAATTTATATTTAGAAACATACGTAGCTTATACTGTTAAATATGTATTGAAAAACTCCCGCCTATTATGCAAAGTTGTAGAAGATTCTCGAGAGTAAGAATCACAATGTATGTGTGTACGTAAATGCTTAAATCTGTATTGCTACGTAATCTGACTTTTCTAGAAGGCCTCCACACGCCTATAAATATAACCAACACGACGCGCCAAAAAAAAGCTCAAACATCACAAACCATTTAACTTCAGTGGATTCACATCGGACATTAATTTTTTACGAAAACATTACCTAACGTCATCGGTGGAAATTCAATCTATATTAGGCGTATGAACTGTGAAGACTACAGGGCTAGCTAGCTCGCTGTGAAGTGAATTATGTCTACGTCAACTCGAAATTAACTCGCTCATCATGAACGTCGATAAGGTATTAAGGAAGTTCCCGACTAGTAAGAAGACTTTATATTGCTTGTAAGTTTGTGAAACTTTTGTTTATAAATCATTGTTTGTAATAACTGTTATTGTAAGTTGTACTGTTGTGTGTGTATTAAAACGTATCTGATTTAAAAAATAAAGCTATGTGTATCAATCTTGTTGGCAAATATAATAAACTGACTATATATCGTCATATATTTAACTACTAAATTTAAATTTATCAGTTAAATAAATTTCAGGCCATTTGAAATTCTAATACGTAACAATATGTAGATGTTTAATATAACATGCATTTCTCAGTTTGACGGCATTAAATGTATTTATATTCCATCTTAATGATAATTATTTTATTTGTTGCAAAATTCGAAAACATTTTAGCCAAGACTCTACCTTAAAGAGTGATAGTCACAGCTCATTGTATAGATTGATGTCACATACGCCACATGATCAGACAGACCACTGTTCTTCAATGATTCAATAACAATAAGAGAAACCGATCAAATGGATCATTCTCCTGCCGTACACTTTTGACATCAGTCATCAGTTCAACAAACTGAAATATGTTTTGATTTATTACAATACACTTTACTTTGGTTCGTAAAATCACTGCTTTCATAAATACTCAGTAAAATTAGATATAAGTATGTTTCTAAGAGAGTAATATCAGTTTTATAAAGAAATAAGTTACCGAGTGTTCATTTTAATATCTGAAAGAAAAATGAAAGAAGCTCAAAATATACAAGACATCTGGATTTAGATTTTACGAAAAGTTAGTGAAAGTAATTTTTGTCTGTTCGTTAATTATCTATCTAAATTGCCACTTACCTGTACAAAATTCTGTAACTTCACTTTCAACACAGGCATGTTTCGCTCTACATTGTATGTACTTAAAAAACGGTGGGTAAGGTATCTTACTATAAAGCAAAGACTATTTTAAGAACAATAAAAACATTTAAAGATCTAATTAGACATTGTTTAAAGTAAGACCTATTTCACTAATAACTAATAACTGAACAATGTTATGTTATTGACCATTTTTATTTAGAAAATTGAAATGTTTTAAAGCTTGCTTGTTTTTCTAAGGCTGAGAATTTTCTTCATGACGTAAATGTGAAAGCAAAATTTGGTTTTGGGCTATTCTTCCGATTCTGCGGAAATGAAACAAAATATTATTTAAACGTATTATATTTTACTCTCAACAAACGGCAGAGTTGCTTGTTGACAGAAAAGGAAATTTGATCCTGTTGAGGGATGAGCTCATCAGCAGATCACGCAATAATTACGTAATAGGAGCAACATCTCCCACCTTCCCTATATGTCGGTATAGCACCTACTCACAATGTCTTGTATAGCCCGCTAAAAACTGCACATGGTATCTGACGGGTACAAGTGGGCCGTGTGCAAAATGCTAGAAATTGCGCCCTTACAAGTTTTCTGCTGTCACTTAGTGGACTAGTTGGAAGGTTTAAGTGTTGGGGGTTCTAGTTTGTTCACTTCCTTGTACTAGGCCTGTTTTATTCTATCACATCATACAACAGGTAAGAACTTAACTGTTATATAACAATTTAACATAGTACTCTTATTTTGAAAGAACTGTTAAATATTTGTGTTGAATTTAACAAGATATTTTCTTTTGTAATGATTATCTTAGTATTGCTGCCTCACAGTTATTAAGAAAATCTTATAATGATATGTGTAGGTGATGTATATTAATTAATTCATCATCTACAATTATTAACGAAAGATAATGATAACATATGATACAATCGACTTGTTTGTTCCATGCACTTACCACGTATACTCACGGTATAGGATGCATCAAACACAACGTTACCTTTTGAATTTGAACCACTGTTCCAGTGTACCAGTGTTCTTGAAGCAAATCGTCGAAGCTTGCATGCATAATCTACAAATGTTAAGAAGTATATCTTAAATTAGCCTTCTGCTAAGTCTGCTTTATATTCCAGCTTTTTTGTTTTATACGCGTCTTTCTCACTCAGGTTCTCTGTAAGTTGTTTTACCAAACTGCTTTCAGATTATATTCCTTGAAATGAGGCCAGCTCAGTCTCTATGTAAGGAACATTAACTTTAGTTACATATTATCTTTATACGCGTCTTTCTCACTCAGGTTCTCTGTAAGTTGTTTTACCAAACTGCTTTCAGATTATATTCCTTGAAATGAGGCCAGCTCAGTCTCTATGTAAGGAACATTAACTTTAGTTACATATCTTTATATATAAAGCAGTAGGTTCATAAAGCATATTTTCCATGCTATGTTGCCGAATATCATCAAAGCACGTAGTGGTATCTGTAACTCAACGTTTTATGTTCACATTTATTGCATATAAGACACATTAAAAGTTTTCTTAGACAATGCTAAGCTTTGGTTGTTTGCATTGATACAACTGTGTCCTTGTACAGGGTGGGTAAAATGTCTGGACTCCCCCTTACTTAAAGCTCATGATAACAGTTTAGTTTTTGCGTTTTAGTAACGATTATGGCAAATGAACGACATAAAACGACTTGAAATAAAGACTACCACTAACATGTTAAGGAGGATATCACATCGCACGTAGGGACGTATCATCCTATGTCATGAAAATGAAGGCCAACAGGCAGACATTTTGGATTATCAATCGAACATTTTATTAGTCTGTGTAAATATGTCAATACATTCTTTCTTTCATGTATACTATCTTTATTTAACGTCGGGGGAGGGGGTTGTCCAAACTTTTTGCTCATCGTGTAGAATCGACATTCGCATGTTTTATGCATTACCTTTTATCTAGCAACAAAATAACTGAAAAGGGCTAACTTATGCATACAAAAATGACATAATTATTAATTCTCGAACATTGTTTCATAATTCATAGATCTACCGATTTTATCAAACATAAAAATACTGAAATATAAAATTTGGTATGGAGAGGAAAAGTGAAATAAGTGCCTGTTAGCCATATTTAATAAAGAAAAGCATTGAAAGGGAAAATAAATAAAATGTATTAACTCTGTAGTTTACTGAAAAGGTTCATGCTTTTGTATCCTTCCGTTTATCTTTATCAAGCAATATTTAATTAGCTTTAATAATTGTGAATGGTCTGTTAATTATTTGAAATATCACCAAAATTTGTTATCCATTGAACTCTTTAGATACACAAGCCATTAGTGTCTAGCTAGACGATAACGTTTAATGAATAAATCACAAATGGTTCATCGCTGAGTAGTTTCAAGTTTGATGCTACTTCACAAACAATTAACTAGGAACCAATAGTGAACATTAAGGTAATTACATTTTGGTGAATGAGAATATAGCTTATATTAGTCTGGATGAAGCTGGTTCATTGTTCACTGAGACACACTTTTACAAGATATAACACATGCCACGCAAAGCTCTACTTAAAATATTTATAACGTAATTTGCCATGAAAGTCCTTTACCGTAACTGTGAAGTTGTCTACTTAGAGTAGAGGATAAATCTAAAGTCTGCCTAAACCACCAGTTTATTAACGACAGTTCATTTTTCATAACTACAAATATATATTCACATATAACCTAATATTGTGTTTCTGTGGCTGTTAAAATGGACTACACGTATTTTACACAGGGAGAACTAATCTACTCGGGTTTCTGTGCTGTTACAATTAAAATGGACTACACGTTTTTTACACAGGGAGAACTAATCTACTCGGACTTGTGTTTCTGTGGCTGTTACAATTAAAATGGACTACACGTATTTTACACATGGAGAACTAATCTACTCGAAACAATAGAGACAGATAAAAAACTGGTATTGAGGCTGGGAGAAAAACTAGCTTAGAAGATTTAACTAAAATCAGACAATTCTAAAACTTGTTCTTAGATCAGGATAATATTGCCATTACTGCTAAATAATGCATTTCTACCTTGTCTCTGCGTGCCCAGCACGAGTCTCTGGGACAATAAATCTCAGTTTTGTGCTATGTATTTTATCATTGCCTGTTCTAACCAGCAATATGTTCAAACCTCAACGTCACAGAATGTTTGTGGTTGCAACCGTACTGGAATAGGTGGGAAATGTATTGTTAATACGCATTTTGAAAAAATCTGATTTATAGACCTATGAGATTAGGTGTTACTGCTGATATTTCCAAAAATGGAGGCCCCTAGTGACACAGCGGTATGTCTCCGAACTTACAACGCTACAAACCTGGTTTCAATACCCGTGGTGGGCAGAGCACAGATAGCTCTTTGTGTAGCTTTGTGCTTAACTTCAAACAAACAAACAAATGCTAAATAAATTCATAAATCAAAAATGTATATGTGCAGTGCCATTAATGTAAATACACTGTTATTTTGTGTCAGTTTTTATTCATTCATCTTTTTTTAATGATTCTATTGAAATTGCTTAATAATAGTGAAAACAAATTATTTTATCAAATACAAAATAAAATTTAAAAATGGGAATAATTTTATGTGGTTTTTCCAATCTATACGGGTAATTTATTTTTCTCATGCTTTTTATTTGTATGTGTGTGTGGGGAGGATCACTACCTTTTGGCAATAATCTTAATATTTCATACAAAGATACGAAACCCGATAACCTGAGCACTTTCGAACGTACTCGAGTTATAGGGTTTCATATATTTTTGTTAAATTGATTTATTGAACCTACATGTTTTCTTAACATATTCGTTGGTAAAAGAGTAGCCCAAGAGTTGGCGGTGGGTGGTGATGACTAGCTGCCTTCCCTCTAGTCTTACACTGCTAAATTAGGGATGGCTAGCGCAGATAGCCCTCGTGTAGCTTTGCGCGAAATTCAAAAACAAACAAAAAAAACAAATTCTTAACATATTAATATTTCATAGGTGTTACAAAAAGAGAGGTCTACAGAAGAAGAGGTTTAAGATATTCGAATTATATAATTCATCCAAGACAACTCAATTTTTATAGTATAAATGAAATAATTACAATTTTTAGGAACCCTTGAATATTTAAATCAAAGGAAATATGGTATACAGCAAATTTCATTATAGTTAACGTCTAAATGTAAAACTGGTAAATATGAAAGAGTTTTGGGAATTCAGGAAACTTCTTTATGCTGTAATAACCTTTCAACAAGACAACAATAGAAGTTTTGTCAATTCATTTATCCATCGATCTTTAGTTTTTATCTAAATTATTGAAATATTACGTCAGTAATTATGTTTTTTAAGAAAACTAGGAAAAAAAACACTTGATTAGAAATAGTGAGCTATGCAAAGGGAAGTTCAAACCTTCTATATATACATACATAGATGTCTAAAATATATAAGAAACTAAGTTAAGGCAATTTCGGGTTATTGTCATTCACAGTCATGCATTTGAAGAGTAGCTTATCTTTACAGCCTTTTTGTTTCTTTGCAGAACACCAGGGTACAGCTACACATCGATTAATGCATGTATTTATAGTTGTATCTAGCTAAATATCATCTTCTGAAATTATTTAATAGTTACATAACTTTAAATGCTATTAACGTGATATTCCTAACTAAGTTTGGTTATGTAACACGAAATAAATCTCAGTCAAACAAACTATAATTAGTCAATGGAGCTACAGTCTTCTTCAAGAAGATGACACAGATAACGTAAAAAAAAACAACAACAAACAACAGAAAAACAGAGGATGTGTAGCCCTACTATAGAAAGCAATGGGATCATATAATACAAAACAAGTTTTTTCTTTAGGTACGTCTTATAGATATCTATTAAATGTACTGGCCTTTTAAACTGTTCCTTTTAAAACTTTACGTACATTTCTGACATCTAAAGAATCCACATGCTGATCTTTTAGAGATTTGCTTAAGTAGAGATCTTAATACAAAAATATAGATTAATCAGAACGTAATATTAAGTAAAGTAAGACATGACTGCATCGTCAACAACATTTTGACAGAAAATTTGCTATTATAGCTCGATTGAAATGCACTACTCCATCATTTAACCTTCAATTATATTCCACGTGTTAGCATGTGGCTTGATTTGAAGACAAAGAAGTTTATATGGTCAAATTTAATTTTGTTAATTTTAGTATTGATTATTTAAAAAAAAATTGTAATTAGAAGTTGATTGAGCAATGTCAAAATATGGTTTAGTTATGAATTAAGACTTACCCGCAAAAAATAAAAAAAATGGTTTTCTTTGTACATTGTCCCCAGTGGTCCAGCTGTAAGTTTACAGATTTACAACGTTAAAATCTGGGGTTATTCTCCCTGATGGACAGAGCACAAATAGTCTATTGTGTTCCTTTGCGTTAAAACAAATAAATTTACCCTTTTTTATTAATGCTGAAATTTAACTTTAGTTTGTATAAAGTGTTAATAAAAATAAAGTATATTTTAGGACTTGATCTGGTGCAGTCTGTTTAAACATGGATTTAAAAAAATTGTGATAGAAACAATTCAACATGAAATATGTTACTTGAAATATTGAGCAAGTTTGTTTATTAAATTTTGCGCATAGCTACTGAGGGCTATCTTCACTAGCCGTCCCTAGCTTAGAAATGTTAGACAGCTAGGCAACACCACCCATCTCCAACTCCGAAAAAAAAGAAAATATTACAAACAGGACCAGTTTAAGTTATATTAGCCGAACTGCGCTTGTTTATGTTTAGTTCCTGAGTGTGCCAAGGATTAGCGTGTTACTGTGAATCTCCTTTTTTTCTAGCTGTCTTTGGTACGTTCCTCCTGCTAATTTTAGATATACATTTTCACTAATTCCTTTTTTGGCGCGGTAAGTTTTCTTAGCGTAGTTTCAAGACCGCAGTTCGAAAAAACACTTAACTAAAATGGAACGAATATTTTTAGAATGTATAATTTCGTTTTCTTTAACAACCGTAAATAATGAAGCTTTGAAAGTAAATACGTTTTCGGTTGAAATAAAAACTTCATGTTAAACTATTTCGTGGATATCAGAATATTACATTTCATGGTAACAAACAGAATGGCTAAACTTTAAACTATTTCGTGGATATCAGAATATTACATTTCATGGTAACAAACAGAATGGCTAAACTTTAAACTATTTCGTGGATATCAGAATATTACATTTCATGGTAACAAACAGAATGGCTAAACTTTAAACTATTTCGTGGATATCAGAATATTACATTTCATGGTAACAAACAGAAAGGCTAAACTTTAAACTATTTCGTGGATATCAGAATATTACATTTCATGGTAACAAACAGAAAGGCTAAACTTTAAACTATTTCGTGGATATCAGAATATTACATTTCATGGTAACAAACAGAATGGCTAAACTTTCATTTGCTTTTACATAATGTTGACAGTGGTTTCGATTTCATTTTAAATATTATTCTTAATTTATCATGAGAATAAAAAGTAATTTACAGGTTCTTTTCTTCAAAATAATTTGCTCATATTGTTATTTTTCTGAAACTACAAAATGTTTACGTTGTTGGGAAACACAAATATTTATGTTCAAATTGATTTTATTTAGTTCTAAAAAGACAGAACACGAAAATTTTGTTGTCTCGGTGTATAATAGATGTAAAAGGAATATTATAAAACACTTAATTAAACATTTCTTGCAAGAATACAACAACAAGAACAACAAAATATGCACTGCGCTCATCACCTCTTATAAACAGGATTTATAAGACATAAATACTTGTTAAAAATTCTTTATCGCCTTGGAGTAGCAGTCACATACGTAAAAGAAACAGTATTTCCAACTAATCATTTTTCAACATCAATGACAATTTTAAGCGCTTATACCTCTAGTTGCAACGATGTTCATATCTCTCTGGTCTTTTTGTTGTTGTTTTACAAGTAACTGATCATCTTAATAAAGGTTATGTTTTCTATTCATATGATCGTATATATGAACAATATTACAATTTCAGTTTTGAAAATTGTTCAGTATTTTGATTATTCCACTCTTATAGACACACAGCATTACTTTACTGAATAAAATATTCCAAAAAAAGGTTCGTGTTTTCCTCACGTCAGGTAATAGAGGCGAAGCCATAAAGTTAATATGCCTCAAATATTTTAACTTCATTAATATTACCTATCTTCTTTGAGTTTCACATGAAGAAAACAATGTCATTTTTGTTAATTATTTTCTTTATTTTTTTTTCCAGATAGCTCATCATAATGCCTTTCAAACCTGTTGAACAGCCAAAATGCCCAAAATGTAGCAAATCCGTTTATGCTGCCGAAGAGATGTTGGCAGCTGGCCAAAAATGGCATAAGAATTGCTTCAAATGTGGTAAGTGTTTTTAACTATTAAGACTTTTAATTAATATAAACACTTTACGATAGAGAGTTTAAAAGAGTTGGGATACTTTTACAAAAGTACATTTATAATTGAATAGACAGGATTTTTTTAACAGCTCTATAGTTTAAAAAAAATAAAATTTAAGCAATTTACGATACCAGTTCTTAGAAAATTTGACTCCCCATCCTGCTATATTTATACTCATTGTTTATTCGCCAACGAGAGAATGCTGTTGCTTGCCACAGTGACATTTTACTAAAAGCTAAAATCTAGTTTAAAATGGTTTTTGTACTGGTACTTTATCAAGGTGTTCAGTCTAACGCGCCAAGTGCTGAGATTATTACAAAACCTACCTATTCTAGAAAGGTTGTTGCCAATAGAAACATTTTCTTAATAAACATTTCATTTCTCATTATTACAAAATGGAAAGGCACAAAGCTACACAATGGGCTAACTGAGCAGTGTCCAGCACGAGTATCGAAACTCGGTTTTTAGCGTTATGAGTTACCGCTGTGCCACTGAAGGGTCCTTTGGTTAAGAATTATAAGGTTATGAGTAGCTTTAACAAAATTATTGACTTTTGTTGAGAAAAGAAATTAAGTCCGCTTCAGGGGGAATATGAAATATTTAATTTCTTAAAACATTTCAAGGATTTTCGTTTTTGCTACAAAATGATAATATAAAGAGTAACAATTGTACTCAGAGTACGAAATAGTAGTGTTATTATAAGAATGCTACGGTCAGTAACATTTAGTTTTCAGTTTAGTGCGACTACGATGAGATGATGTATTTAAACCTTTTATTGCTGAATGAACAGTTATAAAAAACTGACTACAGATGTTCCTTTTTTCCCACATTACTTTTACTTTACACATCACGGCTCGAAATCAGAGGTGTGTGTAAAAAATAGCCACAGAGTTGGTTCTGTTACTTGTCGTAATGAATACAGCTTACTTACTACTAGACTACACAGTAAAGTGACTGATTTTCTTGCGTTGATCCCTATCTGGTACTTCAGTCATAACTAATGCTTTTGAAACAACTGTTGAATTACACGTTTGTAATGAAATAAACCGTTGGGTTTATGTATTGATAACTTTATGGCAAACTTTATACTCGAGTAGTTATGTTAGTTCCTTTCAAAAACTTAATTTTTTTTTTACAAACAAAAGTTGGACAATAAGAGTGAAGTGTACGCTTTCAACTAACTTTTAATTTTTTTCTTTCATCCTGTAGATTCAAAAGTTCCTAACCACTTCCCCATTTTTTCTGTTTTCTGAATAGGCCTTTGTCACAAGAGTTTGGATAGCACAAATGCCACAGAACACGGTGGAGAACTTTACTGCAAACAGTGCTACGGTAGGAAGTTCGGACCCAAGGGCTATGGTTTCGGACAGGGGGCGGGAACTTTGAGTATGGATACAGGTGCACATTTAGGAAACACTGCAACAGCAATGAGGTAGATCATATAAAATACTAAACAGATAATTCCTGTAAAACAATGAGGCAAATGTGGCGTGTTTGTCTGGGTAATAAAATTACGAAATAAATCTCCAAAGGCTAATCTGATATATATATGTGTGTGTGTACACTGAGTGGTCACAAGTAAATAGACACCTAATGTTTCGTCATTTAACTGATTTATACTAACTAATT